AAGAGAAATCACCAGAATTACATTAATATCACAGATGATGAGTATCATGTTGGTAGTGTAACATCTAATCTTATAGAGTTACCAAATTTTGATTCTGTTTTTTTTCATTCTCACTTGATTACATGCATCTAGCTTGTTTGGGTGTAATGAAAAAATTATTAATGTTATGGGTAAGCAAAGGTCCAGTTTGTGTTCGAATACGGTCAGCAAAAGTTAATGAGTTGTCTTCAAATTTATTAAATCTTAATGTATGCATTACTTCTGATTTTGTAAGAAAAAGTCGAACTTTACAAGAATTAAGTCGATGGAAAGCGACGGAATTTCGTTTATTTTTGTTGTACACTGGACCAATTGTACTAAAGAAAATTTTAAGCAAAGAGTGTTATTCCAATTTTATGACATTGAATATTGCAATGATAATTCTTCTTAGTCCAGATTGTGGTTATCTTATCGATTATGCACGACAACTATTAGAATACTTTGTAATGAGTTTTCAAAATATTTATGGTGAACACTTCGTGTCCCATAATGTCCACGGGTTATTACATCTTTGTGATGATTATGAACTCTATGGTTCACTTCATAACTGTTCAACCTTTATGTTTGAAAATTATATGAAAGAACTTAAGTCATTTTTAAGGAAACATGATAAGCCATTACAACAAGTTATAAATAGGTACAATGATAAATGCTCTGCTAGTATGATAAATATTAATAATTCAAATACAAATAATGAACAATTGAAACCTGTTTTGCAACATATGCATAATATAGGCCCATAGGCGTGCGCAGACTTTAAGTTCGGGGCGTGCCCGTGGAAAATTTGATTTATACATTATACACACATAGACAGGGTGTAAGATATTATAAAAAAAAATAGAGCAGAAACAAGTCACATTTTTTATATTATAACTTATTTATTAATTATTATTGGTTATTGGTTAGTATATAATATTTACAGATTCATACGTCTATTTTCTAATATATTGAACTCATCGATGACAGAATCCAAGTTTATACCATTTGTCAACTCTTGTTCGGTGAATAGTAACAATAACGAATCTAATCGTTCCTGTTTCATCGTACTTCTAAGTTTAGATTTAACAATTGTCATTTTAGAAAAAAACTCGTTCGCATGTACAACTTGTGACTGGGATAATTGTAAATAATTGTAAGGTTTTATAAAAACAACTATAGGTAGAAATACTATTGTTAGTTTTCAGCCAATCAAGCCACAAATAAATGGACTCACTAGATATACCATTAGGTTTATCAGATTTTGGCAAATGTTTTAAAAGGTTTATTTCAGTTTTTAGATCTGTACTTGATGTATTTGAGAACTTAGCCAAAACATCAATCATTTCAGGTTTTATTTCCATATGTAGCAGACTAGCAATAGCTTCAATTAAGCTTAAAGTTTCTTGATTGAATCTTAAATCCATTGCCGATATTAAATCATCAAGTAGTTCATAATAAACCGATATCTTCATTTCATCTAATTTATTTTTAAAAAATAATTGAGATTTAGATTTGTTATCAATTTGAGTCGATATTTTTCTACGAATAATGTCTGGAACAATTATTCCATGTTTTTTACATAAAGCAACTGTTTGTTCAAAAATATTTTCAAATTCTTTATTTTTATTTCTCATACTTTTAAGATTTAATGTTAAAGACCGTACATTATCTATTGCCGACAAAAGATTTAGTTTTGGTGATTGAAGTACTGAGCTAACTTTTAAAATAAGATTTAATATTGGATGCATCATAAACATGCCAAAAATGAACTCAAATTTTTTTATTTGGTATAAAAGACCTTTGCCTTTTGCAGTCATCTCAGGATTGGTACAATTGTTACAAATTTCTTCAATTGCAAGAAGTAGACAGTCATAATTGTTTAATATAGCCTTGACTGCTTCGACTTTACATGCCCAACGTGTAGTAGAACATGATTTAATTGTCATCAACTTAACATTAGTTTCTTGAGCAATTTTTATAAGAGTCGCATGTCGCATTGGGCTGCCTTCAATGAAGTTATAAATGAATTGAATTGTTCCAAAAAAGTTAAAAACTAATCTATTTTTTTTTTATTTTCTTGGAAGTTGATTTTTCACATACCGAATCTACTAATGCTAGATTCAAGCAATGAGCATAACAGTGCACATATTTAATGCTTGAATTTTGTTCCTTGCATTTGTCTTGAACACCACCTATACTGCCAGACATTGCCGATGCTCCATCAAAACACACTGCTAACACAGAAATCCAACATTTTCCCATTTCTCTTATAACATTATCAATTGAATTGAATATAGATTGTGCAGTAACAGATGTCAAACACCTTAAAGCTACTAATGTTTCAATTGGTCTATTTTGCTCACCATCAAAATACCTAATAACGACAGACAGTTGTTCAAAATGTCCTATGTCACTTGTTTCATCTGCTAATATTGATATATATGAATTTTCCATGTTACTTTTAATTTTTTTTAGAACAACGTTGTGTGTAGATTTAATAATATCATTTTGAATGCGATTACTTCTGTATAATGCATTCCTTGCACCATGTTCAAAATGTCACCGAAGAAGATTATCATATTTTGATAGTAAGTTCAAAAGTTCTCTAAAAAAGTCCTTGGTTATTACTTTTTTCACTCTCATCATGTCCTCGAAGAGGTCGACCACTCTTCACTAAAGAAATTACAATATCAATCAGACGATACATAACTTTTCTATTTTCAAGGCGTTCTTTTTTTTTTTTACTGATAGCTACTTGACGAGCCATATCAAGTTGACAATCAATTAATTTCAATGTTAAATAGTTGGATAAAGCAGTTGAACTATTTGTGTGATTTTGAGAGCACTGATGCTTTTTAAACGCATCGTTAGCACGGTACCAAGCTCTAAAACCAACTTTTGAAAAGGCCGCATCATAATGAGTACTATTTTTTTCATTGCCTCTGAAGCACCGACAAGGAAAACAAAATGCTGCATCAATAGTAGAACTATATTCCAACCATTCAAATTTATTAAACCATTCTTTCTGAAATGACCTAAGTTTATGTCCTTGCAATGTTCGTGGGTATGTACTCAATATCTTAGTATTGCGTCCCTTCAAAATAATTTGTCTAAACTCTAATTGATTTAATGGCAGTGGTTTTATGGGGTCATAAATGCTCACCATATCAGCTAAAATTTAAAAAAGACAAATGAGATACATTAAAGTATACAATCAGTATTTATATAATTATATAAACTTACAGTTTTCAACTGCAGGTAAAATACTAGAAATTGGAATTTGAGATGATGATTGTATGCATGATTCTGATATATCTAAGGGCACCTTAATGTCAGTACATTTTTTACTGATTGGAATTTGATTTAATTGACTTGAATCTAAATTTGGAACACATAAATAATGTTTTAGGAATTTAAATTTGGTTGATTTTTCAAGTTTTAACCTAATAAAAATGAATATAACATTCTATTTTATTATAAGTATTGAAATAAAAGGTAATTATTATTATATTAATTATTTATATTAAAAAAGTAACAAAACAATTTGCCATTGTTATAACATATTATATATTTTATAATTTAATAATCAAATTATTTTTTTAGAAAAAAACTAGCCAAAAAAATGGGTAGGTACTATAATTAGAGTTTATAATACTAAAACTTTTCATTACAAATTTAATTTTGAGTTGTTAGTTTAGTTACAATATTGAATTTATAAATTAGCTCAGTATCTAAAATATAATACTATTAATACTATAATATTTGTTCGAGATATATTATGATATTTTTTCCCTTGCGATAAGCTCGGCGACTTTATCGTCGCCCTCCTCCCCTCTTGCCTAATGTGGCATCGGCGTTCCCTGACCACTGCTGTCCGTCAATACGACCGTACACTCACTCACTCGTTCGCTGGTCTCGTACGACATCGTCGAGACGTTGCCGTAAACTTTCGGCCCGTGTGTGTCGTTAAATTTTGTGTCATTGCACCCTTATTCTTTTATAACGTGTGTGCCGTCGTTGTATTCGCCGCTCTTGCCGTGCAGACTCTAAAATATAATATATATATATATATATATATATAACCACCTATTATTATTTGGGCGTAAAGTTCGTGAGTTGGTAGTGTACAGTATAATCACTATAATCCACACCGGTGTTCCTGCAGCGGAGAATTCATGCGATCACGTTGCTCAAGATCCAAGTCGTCGATATAGGTGATATCCATAATTGTTATTATTGTTATTATTATCATTTGTTTTGTTTTTTTTTTTTTGTATACCGATTTTTGTCATATTAATTGGGCGCCCTAATTTGTTACTATTATTATTATTATATACTATTGTAGCACGACGGTGCGAAAAAACAAGCATTTGTTCGTATTATTAAAGTTATTATTTTTGGTCACCCGTCCTTTTTACAATTCACAATATTACATTTATTATAGAGAGAGAAATACTCTGGGTGTTATTATATTTGCCATCCTAGGCCAACCGCCCAAGCAGGAGCCTGGTGGAACATTTCTGGTAGCAGAGCGTGGTTTCTTTTTACGTTTTATTTCGTGTTATTATAACTTTCGTATAACGATACGGCAATTAGCAGCGCCGGCCAGCGTGATATATTCCGATTGGGTTTTTTGTGTAGTGTTATATTCCCGTCCGTAATAGTCGATCATTAGTAGAGTTAACCGTATTTATCTCATCTTTATCGATTTATTATTTGTATTATTTATATTATACCTATACAAGGTTTGGTGCGGCGTGTTGCAGCTGTGCTTTTGCGTGGTATATTGATTACAGGTACGCGGGTCTATCGGACGATAGCTGTTATCGACGTATTAGCGCACAGCGTTGGGTAATTCTCTGTTGTTAACGTCGAAAGACGTAATTGTATATTATAATTTCATACTTAATTAATTTTATTTAATGTGTGCGATGGAGGCTCAGGAGATTGCACGTGTTAATCGCGTATTGAAAAGAGCGACTATGAGGCGCGATGAATGTATTAAGCGTATAAATGCAATATACGAGCTCGCGTTACGTTGTGAAAATGAGTTAGGATTAATCACTCAATTATCATTTCTTGTCGACGAAGTCGACGTAATATGGACGGAGTTTACGACTGAAAGCAATACCGTGATCGATTGTCTAATAGATTTAGGTCGAGAATCAGAGTATTCCTTTGGTCAGGTCGCCGAACTTCGTAATTTAATTTCAATCTCCCGCGCAACGGTTAATCGCCACACTCTAAGTGACCAAACTAACGCGTCTGTCCGAAAAGGTTCCGTGACACCTGATCCGGGACAGATATCTATGCATAACTTAAACCTAAACGACGACCAGGAGAGTCATGTAGGTTCGATTAGCAGCGAGGCGGCATGTAGACCTACGGCTCTTGGTGTAGATGTCCCGGGAGGTAGTGTACGCAGCGGACATAATATAATTACACGTAGTTCGTCTCATATAAAACCGGCCCGGTTGCCGGAAATACCCCTGCCCACCTTTCATGGTGATATTTTTAAATGGCTTATGTTTCGGGATCGTTTTTTATCTATGGTTGGTCAACACTCTGCTATTGCGGATATAGATAAATTTTATTATTTGACGGGTTGCCTACGAGATAAGGCATTGGAAGCAATCGCCGGCATACCGGTATGCGGTGATAATTACGCACTTGCGTGGGCCGCGTTAACGGCGCGTTTCGATAAGCCACGTTTAGTTGCGTCTTCGTTGTTAGATAAATTGTTAACGACACCAAAATCGTCGAATGAAACGCTATCTGAATTAAATAAATTTCTGTTTGTTTTTGATGAAGGAGTCTCGGTGCTCAATTCAATGAACCTCCCGAATCTCGGCGATTTTATTTTATTTTCAGTCGCGTCGCGTTGCTTGCCGTCGTATACGGTCAAGCTTTTTGAAACTCAATTGTCAAATGATTTTCCATCGGTTAAGGAACTTCTGACGTTCGTTAAATCTCGCGTTAACGTTCTCGAATGTATACCGAATGACGCAATTCATAAAACGGTAAAGCAGCCATTGTTGCAAAAGTCTTCTCACATCTCAAAAAAATCATACATTTGCCCCTATTAGCTTTAAAAAACAACAAACAACCTCGTTATTATCTAGCACTGCATCGTCGAAACCAAAGGGGTCGTGTCCCATTTGCAAGGGGTCACATGCAGTTTCGTCGTGTAAAAAATTTGCCGGTTGGTCCGCAAACATCCGTGAAGCATGGGTCCGTGAAAACAGGCGTTGTTTTCGTTGCTTGCGCGATGGTCATTGGGCCCCAGAGTGTAAGTCACTAATACAGTGTGATAAGTGTTCTTACAAACATCATCCGTTGTTGCATTTCCGGGATACGACTACCAGCTCGACATCCGATAATCAGGTACCATGTAATGAGCCGCCACCACAATCGTCCCTTATTGGAAGTGGGTGTCAGCAATCTTCCTCGGTTATCTTAGGGACCGTTTTAGTCCACATTCGCGACTGTGGTGGTGTATTGCACACCGTCCGCGCCCTTGTCGATTCCGCTTCGCAGATAAGCGCGATCACCGCAGACTGCTCTGCTCAATTAGGTTTAAAGGTCACTCGTTGGACTGCCCCTGTATCTGGGCTATCTGGAGCGCCGGTACCAAACGTCAAAGGATTGGTTACTTGCGACATTCAGCCCCGGTTTTCCAATGAACCATTTATTCATTTTACAGCTTGGGTATTTCCCACAATCACGGTGAATATGCCCAGCCAGCCCATATCCAATCAAGTAGCCGATAAATATAAAAATTTAGCTTTAGCAGATCCCTCATTCGCCATACCAAGTAAGGTTGACTTGTTACTCGGTGCCGACGTTTTTGCGCGCATTCTGAACGGTAAACGTGTATCTGTAGGTGATTCGTTTCCCGTTGCGTTCGGTTCAATATTTGGTTGGATAATAATCGGCCCTGTCCCCTCTTCAAATAGTTATATTCCTATTTCACATCACATTTCATTAGTTTCCTCAATAGAGTTTCTGATGGATAAGTTCTGGCAAGTTGAGGAACCAGAAGTGGCTCCGGAGACCTTCACTTGTGATGGAAAATGTGAAAAGATGTTCCGTGATAATTGTTCACGCGATAAATCCGGACGGTTTGTTGTACCTTTGTTGTTCCGGCAAGCAGTCGTGGACAGTACTTTTTCTGGTTCTCGCGCCGTCGCGGTTAAACGCTTTGAGTCTCTGGAACGAAAGTTTACGTCCGACAGCCGACTTCGCGAGGCCTATTGTAATTTCATGGCTGAGTATTTGTCTTTAGGCCACATGTCTCCAGCTTCGTCCACAGGTTCATATTTTATACCTCACCATGCTGTATTCAAATCTTCCGATCCGCAAGACAAAATCCGTGTCGTATTTGACGCGTCCGTCCAATCGTTTTCTAGTACGTCATTAAATCATTGTTTATTCGCGGGCCCAAAATTACAACAAGACGTCATTGACGTACTGATGCGGTTTCGTTTATCGCGTCATGCATTCACTGCGGACATTAATAAAATGTACCGACAAATCCTGTTAGTTCCCGAACACCGTCGTTACCAACATATTCTCTGGCGCGCGTCCCCACAAGATGAACTTAAAGCATATGAATTAAATACTGTAACGTATGGGGTAAACTGTGCACCTTTTTTAGCTATACGGGTACTTCAAAAAATTGCCGAATCTGATTGTATTGAAATTCCGGCAGTCCGCGATGCTCTAATGTTTAATACTTATGTCGATGACATTTGCGCGGGGGGAGACACGATAGAGGAAGTCATCGCGCTCCAAACTGACTTAATTAATGTACTGCACAGAGCCGGAATGTGTTTAAAAAAATGGTCTAGTAACACCGTCGCGGTTCTAGATAGGATATTGCCTGAAGACAGGGCCGGTGGGATGTTGTCCTTTGATGATGACACTTGTAGCGGTTCCAAGGTATTGGGACTTCAGTGGTCTCAGCGAGATGACATATTTTTATATATTGTTCAACCTGAACGTTTAATTTCAACTAAAAGGGGCATGCTGTCTCTAATTGCCCGCATATTCGACCCGCTTGGTCTATTAGCACCAGTCATATTTTTTGCAAAACAATTGATGCAACGTGTATGGCAACTTGGTATCTCATGGGATGATCCGTTGCCCCCCGAAATATCAGACGTGTGGGATAGGTTCGTTGCCGATCTTCCCGTTTTAGATCAAATCACTATTCCCCGTTTTGTCGGTACTAAACTTGGTGTTCAGGGTGTCTTATGCGGATTCTGTGACGCGTCCGAGAAGGGCTACTCGGCAGTTGTTTATTTAAGATTATCAAATCACTCCGGACCACCAAACATTTCATTGTTAGGTGCTAAAACCAAAATGGCTCCACTCAAGGCGTCGACAATTCCACGTTTGGAACTTTGTGCGGCTGTTTTACTCGCTCGGTGGATGGTTCGGATTAAAACCGCGTTAGACAATAAAATTCGAATAGAAAACATGTATGCATGGTAGACTCAACTATTGTACTTAGTTGGCTGAAGGTACCGCATGAAAAATTTAAGACTTTCGTTTCAAACCGTATACACAAGGTGGCAACGTTACTACCCAACTGTCACTGGGATTATATATCGTCGCATAATAACCCCGCAGATTGCGCGTCGCGAGGTATTCTTCCTACGGACTTGGTCCATTATAATTTATATTGGTATGGGCCCGAAATTCTATACCGAAATGTGCTCAATGTGTCGACGTTACGTCCGGATATCAGTACTGAAAATTTACCGGAATTAAAAACCATGTCACCTACGACATTAGTGACCAAAACAAGTGATCCTACCGAACCGGAATGGTACTCGCGTTTTTCCTCATTCTCTCATATGATTCGTGTCGTTGCTTATGTATACCGTTTTATTAAAATTTGTAAACGTCGTCCGACACACATCACCCCTTTTTTAACTCGTGCCGAAATGGACCACGCCGCTGTGGCCATCGCTAAATATTCTCAACGTATGAAATTAGGTAAGCTACTTTACGATCTGTTACATGACCGTCCGGTTGGCGCTGGACCTGTAGCTCGTCTCCGCCCATTTATAGATCAGCGGGGTCTCATCTGTATAGGTGGCCGTTTGTCAAACGCAGATATACCGGATTCACAAAAGCACCCTATCTTATTAGGCAAGTCGTCACATTTATCCATTTTATTGATTCGCCACTGGCATGAAGTTACCGGTCACGGGGGACCGAGGATAGTAACATCCCTTATTAACCAGTCTTATTGGATTTTGTCGTTGAACACTCTAATTAGGTCCGTCCTTTGCAAATGTGTCACTTGCGTCCGCCTATCATCGGTCAATCCGCAACCAATCATGTCGGATCTACCAACGTCTCGGGTATCCGAATGCCATCCGTTTTCGCGTGTTGGAATTGACTTCGCCGGTCCTATTGTAATGACGGAACACCGCTTGCGTAAGGCCCGTAAATTTAAGGTATATATTGCCGTATTTGTGTGCTTTGTCGTAAAAGCTATACACCTTGAATATGTATCTGATTTATCGACAGATGCGTTCTTGGCATCATTACAACGGTTCGTCACGCGTAGGGGACTCCCCACGGACATTTACACCGATTGCGGTAAAAATTTTGTCGGGGCATCAAATCAGTTACGAGCACTTGTCAACGATCCCTGTTGTAAAGACCACCTTACTTCCCGCTTTCAATGTACCTGGCATTTCAACCCACCCGGTGCACCCCATTTTGGGGGGTTATGGGAGGCAGCTGTGCGCTCAGCAAAACGTTTAATGACTCGTATTATAGGAGAACATACCTTTTCTACTGAAGAACTGAATACGATATTATGTCGTATAGAGGCTATTTTAAACTCTCGCCCGTTGGTCCAACTTTCGCCTGACCCGACAGAATATGATTGTCTTACCCCGGGACATTTTTTGATAGGTCGTCCACTGCTCTCGATCCCTGAGGTGCATTTAGACAACACGGCGCGTCCTTTGGTTCAACGTTGGAAATTGATAAATCAATGCGCACAATCCTTTTGGCGCCGCTGGCGCAACGAATATTTAAATACGCTCCAAATTCGGAACCGTTGGACTAGCAATATACCCAACATCTGTGTCAATGACATGGTCATTATCAAGGAACCCAACGTTCCCCCGTTACGATGGCGCATGGCGAGAGTCCAAGAAGTGTTCCCCGGGGCTGACGGCGTGGTACGTGTAGTACGTTTGCGCACCGCAACGGGAAATTTCACGCGACCGGTTGTCAAAATTGTTAAGCGTTACCAATTGCTTAGAATCTATAACCGCTCCACTGTCATATGCTGCAATACGCCTTACCTGATTGTGGTATATACTAATCTGTAAATCTATTTTAATCATAAAAGTTCTGCGGGTACCACCGATATGGCATCTTGTGTGAGGGGCGTATGGAGTTATATTGTTATGTATCTATAATTATTTTATTTCCGATGTTGTTAATGTAAAAAAAAAAATGTATCATGTATTTATTCATGAGTTAAAACTCATGTTATATGTATATTTATTTATTGTATATTGTAAAACTGTACTGATTAATATTATTATTGCCTTATGTATGGTTATTTTATAATTATTTTGAAATTGCGCGTCCCTCACCAAAATTATTGGGTGACCAATTATTATTATTTGTACCTTTTGAATTCCTATTTTATATTACGATTTATTGCCTTTTTTTTGAATCTCTTTTGATTGTATTATATTCGTCGTCTTCAGCGAAACTTTAAAATATTATCTGTTGTTTGAACGTTGTATTTTTATTTATTTATTTATTATTATTTTTTTTTCTGTTACTTTTACTTATGTACATATTGGGTCATCGAATCTTCAAGCAAATCTACCATCCAGTTGTAATACGTCCCTACGTCTTCCAAGGGGGGAGGATGTTCGAGATATATTATGATATTTTTTCCCTTGCGATAAGCTCGGCGACTTTATCGTCGCCCTCCTCCCCTCTTGCCTAATGTGGCATCGGCGTTCCCTGACCACTGCTGTCCGTCAATACGACCGTACACTCACTCACTCGTTCGCTGGTCTCGTACGACATCGTCGAGACGTTGCCGTAAACTTTCAGCCCGTGTGTGTCGTTAAATTTTGTGTCATTGCACCCTTATTCTTTTATAACGTGTGTGCCGTCGTTGTATTCGCCGCTCTTGCCGTGCAGACTCTAAAATATAATATATATATATATATATATATATTACCACCTATTATTATTTGGGCGTAAAGTTCGTGAGTTGGTAGTGTACAGTATAATCACTATAATCCACACCGGTGTTCCTGCAGCGGAGAATTCATGCGATCACGTTGCTCAAGATCCAAGTCGTCGATATAGGTGATATCCATAATTGTTATTATTGTTATTATTATCATTTGTTTTGTTTTTTTTTTTGTATACCGATTTTTGTCATATTAATTGGGCGCCCTAATTTGTTACTATTATTATTATTATATACTATTGTAGCACGACGGTGCGAAAAAACAAGCATTTGTTCGTATTATTAAAGTTATTATTTTTGGTCACCCGTCCTTTTTACAATTCACAATATTACATTTATTATAGAGAGAGAAATACTCGGGGTGTTATTATATTTGCCATCCTAGGCCAACCGCCCAAGCAGGAGCCTGGTGGAACAATATTATATAAACAATTTTAATTATTAAAGACAAAAATTTACATTCTTTTATTATTTCATTTGAGTTACATTCGTTTAAATCTAAAAAAAAATTACAATTTATCTGTTTAAGTTTATTTAAAGTTTAATAAAGTAGTACAACTTATATACAAAAACATGTAAGCGTTAAATAATTTGTAAAGTGGTAAACAGCTTACTTGAACTACACATCGATTTTTTTAAAAAAAAATCTGTTATTTGCTGACCGGCTCTTTTATTTGAATTCATTTTTAATGTTTAAAGTATTACACTATACAATACACATTAAGAAATAATGTGTGAAATAACACTGTTTAGCTTACAACTGTTAACGCAAAGGACAAAAATTGAAAAATACGAATGTGTACTGGATGTCACTATGTAAGTAATTACTAGTAGTAATTTACTACACGAGTCGTGACAACAGTCTAGGAATATTATATTTTTGTTTTGACGATAGTGGTTCTATGGTTGTTTTTTTGTTTGTTTATTATATTCTATAAATAACTTAAGTAAGTAATTGAGTAATCTCAATTCATGCAATTCTGTTGTAATCACGGATTCGCAGTGTAGCCCTTTCAAAAGTGAAAAATATTTAACCATATTTTTTTTTTGTATTGTTGTCATGGATGAGGATAATCTGGTGATACTCCTGTGGCCAGTTCTCCTAGACTGATAAGCATGTTTGAGACATAGCCACATAGGGCGCATCGGCCCTTGAAAAATCTCGAGGCGTGCCTGGGCACGCCCGGCACGCCCTGTGCGCACACCTATGTATAGGCCCATTACTTGAGAATATAACTGGTCCTCAATATTTAACTTTACTGTATAAAAATATGAAAATACAAATTAAAAAAGGAAAAGATTCTTTATTCTCACTAAAAATAATGAAGTAGTTAAATGTTTAAATTTTTGTCTTAGAGGTGAAGACATTTTAATATTAGGTTGTAAATTTAAAGATATAAAACCTTCATATGAAGACCCTATAGATTCAAGTATACTGTTAATATATGAAGTAAAAAATCTTTCCAAAACTATTCAATGTTGGAAAATACCTGATTTGAAAAAAAAATGATCGTATTTAATCATCATGATAAAAATATTGTGATGCCTATTATCCATTCTGAATTGTAAATCTGTATTATTAAATTTTGTATTGTAAATATTATGTATTTAAGTATAAATAAATAAATATAGTCTAAATTATTAGGTAGTGAACATATATAATAGGTACCTACTTAAGCTTGTAAATAATAAACAAGATACAAATTATAATCATAGGTAATAAGCTACAATACTGAATAATTAAATGTTTTATTTAATTAATGTTCTTTTATAGATGGACCACCAAAGTGGTTGGATTATAGTTATTTTTAATAATGACAATAGCGTGGAAGCAGTACCAGATATATGGTTTAAAAATAATAATTGTGCATGGCCTAAATCCAAACAAATTAAAAAATATATTGAAACACAAATAAAACCTAATAATAAAGACTTTACTTTTTTCAATGCTAGAAAATTGGGCAATAAAGTATATAGTGAGTAGTATATTCTATATTATTAAATAATAATGTTGTTTGAATTTATTATTTATTAAAATTGTTTAATAAATATTTCAGGTTCTTTGGCTGAAGCTAGATCTAAACTACCTAAAGCAATGCAAAAATCAGATATATCTGGTACGGAAGATGAATATTATAGTATATTGACAAAAAAACGCCAGTTTATCTTCCAATATGCACAATTTAAAAAAAACAAAAAGCAGCAATTTAAAATCTAATATTTCATTAAATAATAGTTGCCCTCC